TTGATCAAAATAGAGTAGTTTTTTAAATTATGCCACTCAGAAGAACAGAATTATTTTTCTATATTGATACAGAAAAATGAATTCTTTGGCCCGACTCTTTTGCAGATTACTCATCTCCCCAAACTCTAAGAAACTAAAATTTATGTAAATTTTGAACATTTTTAAGGTCTACAATCGTAGACAGTAACTGTTCATTATACTCAGAGTGTAATCACCCTTATTCCTGACTTTCTTTTACCTCGGCAATGTTCCTAACTCTTCATTTATTTGCAGGAAAGTATTCACTCCTGTCTTGGGCCTTTTCGTTTTTATACTGCAAGCAACTCTAACTCATGAGAGTGGAATTTTCGCTTTACTTCTTTCACTAGTGTTTTGGGTTTTGGTTGCCTTCTGATTTCTTCATACCCTCTTTTAATTTGGGAGGTTTAAAACGACATAAAATTCTAACAAAGGCTCTTCAGATTTCATCTTTGGCCAAATCGTTATGCATGTAGGGAGGTTGAAACTTCGGCTGTTATTTTTCTAGTGGAACCGGAATTTGTGCTTTTATGGTTCATAGACTTTTGTTGCTGTTATGTTGATGGACTAGGAATTACATTGGTGTGTTTTGGGGTGGGAAGGGTTCTTCACCAGCGTATCTGCTTTTCCTTTATCAAGCAGTTCACAACAGCAGTCATGAGGATTTTGAGGCAGTCTACAGACACCAGAATATGGTGGGTTTCTCTAATCTTTGTAATTTTTAAATATGTGAAATATTCCTCCATCATTTGTCATTTTAACCTGTGTACATTTCTGGAGGGCCTCCTATGCGTCAGATACAGCCTTGAGCTCAGCCTCTGTGCTGCGTGGGCCAGTAGATCGTAGGAGGTGATTGTCTGCGACTTCGAAACACTATGTAAGATTTCCAAATCACTCACAAACCAGAGGGATATGCCTTATATTCCCTTGCCAGGTCTCAAGAAGCAAGGCATCAAGCAGAGATAAAGGACTTTTTTTGCCCTCCTTTCTCATCTTAGAAGTCCCACTCCCCTTTCAGGTGTAAGCTTAGTATATTTTTCAGTCACTGACAGTGGTTCAGTATTAGAAAGCTGAACAACAATTGAAAATTCATCTCTTCAGTTCAGCAGTTATTGAACTCCTTGGCTGGGCCAGGCACCCTGTGGAAAGTACTGGGGATAAGAGATGAGTAGGAAGGAACTCTTTTCTTTAGAAGCCAACATTCTCAGGAGATGGTTTAAACTCACCTTAGTACAGCATAATATTAATCACACAGGGATACAAATGCAATGAAAAACGGACTGGAGAGGACCAAGTAGGTGAAAGACAGGGAGGATGTAGCATTATTCTATCTTTGTTTCTTGCCTAGAGAACATAAAATACATGGAAGGGATATCTCTATTTTTGCCTCATTAGTTTTACCATAGTAACATATTTTGATCATTCCTCACCTTCCCCCAAAGGAGTACTGAAGTTTCATTCTGAAGGGGGGAGCCGACTTGAGGTTTGAGGAGCCGCATATGTATACATGCAGCAAATCCAGTATAAGGTTTCCATTCTTGCATTGTACAGGCATTTGGAAGCAGAGACTAATATACAGGCATTAGGATTTATTTTATTCCTTTCCCTAGTGATTATGTTGACAGGGAACTATCTTTGTCTGAGTATTCCAGTTATATAGCTTTAGGCGCCATAAAACTGCATAGATGGATGACTACCAGTTCAATTAAGAGGTCTTAACCTAACCTCCCATATGCAAACTTTGTCTATTTTAGATTTAAATTTCTGCTCATAAATTTTTTAAAAACCCAAAGAAACATTGCTTTTCAAGGTTAGGCTGAGGTCTAAGTTTCCTTAAACATAAAGCAAATCCCTAGATGGGAAAAAAAATTGATAACCCTAATGTGCTTCCTCACAAGAGCATTTCCAATCCCATACTTTACACACAGTGTATGTAAGTAATAGTCTCTTCATTGTAATACACAAATCTTCTGGCTTTCCACCAGTCACCCAGAGAAACTCACTGGTATGGGAGACTCAGATACAAGAAGAACATCCAGTTCTGTGCAGTTGGGTTTGTTTTCTGGGGCTCATAATTATTTCAGGTGGTAGAAATCAATCAACCATGTGACATTTGTCCAAAAGAGTAAGACACAAAGTTACCTTGGCTTCTGGCAGGTGTCTATGGAGTATATGAAGGAGAAAGGTAAATTAATTGTTAACCTTCTAGATACTGTTTTAATGCAAATGTTTGAGGAAGAGATCTTTTGTTTGTATTAATTATGTATGGTAGGAATTAATTTGTAATTCTGGTCATCTGGTTGGTTCCACACTTAACAGCATCAGTGACCTTTTGCAATACCAGAAAGAGTGTCCATGCGTCCTCAGCAGAGAATAGCACTAGGACTGGGTAGTTTTGCTCCTTTTTGGCTGAAAAAGAAAATGGTATTGAACGGCCCAGGGTGGAAAATAATGATTGAAGTTTTGAGATCATTTACATTTTCATGTAGGTCTTTGACTTTGCCTGCCCCTTAGCAGGATGGTGCATTTTAGTATGCAGTCCTCAGATGGATAGCGGTGTCTCCGGCTTTTGAGTTGAACTAGAAAAATTAAATTCCGTTTTCAGTTTGGCTAGATGCCTTCTCCAGTGTTTGTATCTGAGCTTTCATGAGAACGCCGCGGCCCCTTGCAGACCAGCTCTGAGCATTTTCTTACCACTCACTCCTTTGCTGTTGGTTTGCTTATTTTTCTGTGGCTTGGAATTTTAAACTTTCTTTCAACATACCTACTATTCATCTTTTATTGCTGTGCATGTTTTCTATTATTATGCTATATTCTGTAAAGGTAGGGTCGCAAACCAAGTATAAATGAAAAGTGAAAAGAAGAAAGATGTCCATTTTCAGATTATATAAAAAAAATTTAGGGTCTTCCTTTATTCCTTTTTTGCCTTAATATCAACGTAATTGGCTATTGTATATCTAAATTAATTGAGATAAAACTATTTTCCATTTATTCATAGAGACATGTGATAAAGATATTACATGTAGAAGTAATACATGAATAGAGATGTATGTTTGCTAGTATTTTTTCCAAAGAAAATGTTATGTTTGGCCAAATGTTATATATCTGTTTTGAGGCATAATCAAGAATTCTAATTTTCCCTAAAACAAGATTAGATATTTTGCTTTCATTTTAATTATGAAAATTAATGGTTTAAGATTTTTCCAGAACAAAAATAATAGAGGTATGTCTTTCTCCTAAAACATACTGAATTACTACTTAAAATAATGTGTAATTTCTGATGGCAAAATTATAGGTTCTTTCCCTAGAAGAAAAAGAAGGTATCATGTTGTATTTTTAAATTGTTTGTTATAAATGTAATATTAATTTATGTAGTTAAAATTTTAAATATGGGTTAATATAAAGTTGTTTACATTTCTAATTTTTAGTGCAGGTTTTGTATTTTTGTAGCTTATTCTGAAGGATTTCGCTAAAGATTTTTGGCATATAATACATTTTGTTTGTGTCTTCTCTGTGGCAATTGTTACAGAACGATAAAAGCTGTCACTTTGCCAGACTCAAATAAAAATTCACTTTTTAGCATCTTTTGTTATTTAAACCTTTGAATCAACAGAGAAATTTTGCTATAGTCACCAGATTAAGATTATTTGAAAATTTTAAAATAGATATTTTCAATATAGCACTTTCTCGTAATTAAAATCTTCATTTGCTTAAAAGCAGGGAGTCTTTTAAAGTAATAAATTAGCATTTCTAGACCTAATGTCACTAGTAGTGCTACTTCTTTCTGCAGTATCTCCAAGAAAGAGAAGGGTGATGCTGTAACTCAGTTGCTGTGGAAGTAATATTTTCAATTTAATCTCAGTTAAGTGTCGTGACCTTTTGACCTTACATTAAACTTGCAGAAATGTGGTCAAATTTCAAACAGCTAATTCTAAACCTGTGAAGTCAAGGTGAAGTTAGGATTCAAGTTTTCCACAGATTACAGAGGTTTTTTTTTTTAAATTCTTTTCAGTTGCTTTTAAACAATGTTGTAAATTACGACAAGTCTCAGAAAACACTTTGTTTTTATGTCAGAATTTTCCCCTTGAAACATTTTGCCTGCGTTTTTCTCTCCTCCCCAAAAAAGTACCATAAATACGCTTATTTCTAATTTTGTGAAATTCTTTTGATCTAAGTTAATTTACCTAATTTAAAAATTAAGTTACTTTAATTTTTAATTATTTCATTTAAAAATGAAGTTAATTGAACTCTTTTTTTAGTTTGAAAATATGATGATTTTTTTAAATTGAAAAATGTTTTATTCTATGAAGTTGTGCAAAAATCTGTTTTTGCAAACAAGCCCTTTTAGGATCTCCCAAATACATCAGTACAAGAGAAAAATAATTCTTATAAAGCAGGGGAAACTCGTGCTCTAGAAAGACTTTTTTCAGTTATGCAGTTATTTCAAGAAAATGTGCTGGAATATTAGGACTCTAGTATTTAATGGTGTTAGTCTGCCTAGTCTGTTGCTGGAATGCAGAGCTAAATATCAACAGAACTTGTTACTGTTGTTTGCGTTGCTTTTATATACCAGCTTCAAAATATGTTTTGACACTTTATTATGTTCTGAATCAAGCTTCAGATGTGTGTAATGAAGGATGAAGTCTTTATCAGACTCAAGTGTGTAAATAGTGGAGAAGAGCAGTTTGGAAATGGTCTCTCTAAGAGAATGGTTGCTGAAGAGCTTCAAGTTGTGATCTGGCAAAAGCTGACGCCACTATAGGTGTCAGCAAACCGGAGCCCTCTCTAAAGGCACAGGCTGCTGCTGCATTTTCCTCTCTTTCTTTTCTTTTTCCCTGTTTTCTTTTCTTCATGTCTCATGTCATTTCTGTAATATTCCCATTCCTAGTTTATAGGTTGAACCTTTTGAGAAAGTCTGGCACCTCTGATCCACTTTCCCTTGCAGACCCTGTAATTTTTGGCTGTATTTTTATGTTTTTCAGATTCAAGTCAATCTGAAAGTCCCAGCCAGCCAAGTGACGCTGACATTAAGGACCAGCCAGAAAATGGTAAGTTTAGCTTGAGACTCTAGCTGCTGCATTCAGAGTCCACAGCAGCCAGCAAGCTGACTTAAGGGCAAGGATTTGGAGGCCTACCTTATAAGTAGCCCACAGTAGTAACAATTGCAAGGACTCGGAAAAACTCAAGTAGATTACTTTTAACAGGGCAACTTCTTGTTCTCTGGATCACCCCAGCAGCCTCAGGACCCCCCGGCCCCAAACACTATTAGGGTGTCCATGAGAACCTTAATTCCCAAGGAAGTTGATTACCCATTTAAACTATGAGAAGTGGAGTTAATTTACCAAATCAGATTTTTTTAAATAGCATTAAGTGAGGAATCATGGCTTTTTCATTTCATTTTAGTTTTTTAATGTGGCAGATGCCCCATGATCGTCTTCACTAGTGATTTAAGATCATTCATTCACAAGCTAGGCCTTTTGGGAGCTCCACCCTTTGCCAATTGCTTTAAGAAAAAAACCTCTATGCTTTTGAAGGATTTTTCTACTTTAAATTGTCTAAAATAAAATAGGATACAGGACAGCATTAAATTCCACAGTTGCATAAATATATTAAAATAGAACACACACATTATATATGAATATCATAGTATCTGGTAAAATGCTGAATTTGTGACACTACAAGTGTGAAAAAGATTGTCATGGATTGGAATTTTAGATTGAATAAAACTATAGGTTTTAATAAAAACAGACACGAACTAGCAGTAACTATCATATACATAGATAATTTCACAGATATCATCTCATAAAATTCCAAAATGCTGAGGCAGGAGAATTGCTTGAACCCAGCAGGCAGAGGTGACAGTGAGCTGAGATTGCATCATCGCACCAACTCTGGGTGACAGAGCAAGACTCTTGTCTTGCGGGGGAGGGCAGGAAGCTGTGGTGTCAGACCTGCATTTCAATTCTGCCTCTACTATTTCTTACCTGTGTGATACTGAATAGGTTATTTAACCTCTCAGAGTATTGATTTATTCCTCAAAAACAGGGTAATAATATTACCTGCCTGTTGAAGAATTAAATAATATGTGTAATGTGTTTATCATAGTATCTTTCATAGAGTTTATGCTTTAAAAATGTCAGCTGTGGTTTATTATGACTCATTATTTTTCTTGTCAATATAATCCTGCCATATTTATTTTTCACCCACTTTGAATGACCCCATTGCTTGAATGTCTTCCTTTTGTTGTATGTACATTGTTCCATGTTGATCTCCATCCGATCTTTTGAAAAGCTGGCAAATGGAATTATGTTGGTATTGTGGGATGAAGGATCAAGTGTACTACATCAGATATCCAATCACTAATTTTTTAGAATATGTTTTATTTCCTACCCTGAGAAATGTTGATTACATGCTGGCTTCTAGCATTAAATACAGACATCTTGGCTATTCCTCTTCTCATCCTGGTATTTTGGTGATATTTTCTTTATCAAAGTTGTCTTTTTAAAGCAGGCAGTAAAAAAAAAAAAAGAAGAACTCTAGAGGTTTGTTTTTAGTGTCATATACAGCTACATCTTATTTTTTGTTGACATTTTAAAGAGTGGTATTTATAGACTAGTTTCATTCTTTATTTTGCGCTTGACTTGTAGGTGATGCCTTCAAAGTTTCACTTCTTTCTACATATTGTATTTGTGCATAATCTCCCTAAAGATGTCTCCAGAGGTATCATTTTATTTTCATTTTCAAAAATGTGTGGACTGTAGGGGTGTGTAGTTCTCGTATTTAGGTCTGGCCGCCCCTCTAGCAGGCCTGCGATTCATCTGTCTTCATAAAATGGCCAACAAGCTGTTCACATGCAAATATAAATTGAGAGCATGAGAGGCCTGGCATGCCTTTCTGGAGCCGCCTGCAATCCCAATATTGTGTGTTTTCCCATTCCAGAAAGCAACCAGGATTGAGCCTGGATTTTTCAGCCAAAGGCAGAGAGATACTAGCCAAGTTCACTTTTAACCTCAGATCACTCTAGGATTTACGCTATCATTTCGGGGAACTCATGTGAGTTAAAGAAAGAAAGAATTAATATATAGGAGATAAAGTAATAAATTCCTTTCCGTTTTCAACTTGTTTAAAAGAAAAAGTAGTAGAAGCTGCTTTTATCTTAGCCCCAGTTGAGGAATTATCAGCCTACTCAGTTTTCTGCCTCTTGTCAATCTCAGATGAAGTTAGTGGAAGAAAAATGATTTTTATCTCTTCCTTAAAGACATATAATCCCAAAAGGAGTAAGTGAAGATTCAGGGCTTGGTATTTACATGCATTAGATAAGGTTCTACTCTCTGGTGTTACATTGATCAAGAGAATGTTCCCTCTTTTTCATTACCTCAGGATATGAGGATGAATTCCTGAGAGGTTGTTGTGTGTTTTGTTTTGCTTTGAAAGAGGGAACTCTCATAGGTGTATCAACAAAGTTCTAAGAAATTTTGGAATCTTGCTGACTGAAGAAGTAACAGACTTGATTCTTCAAATAAGATGGGAACTCGTTACTTCACATATGTGTGTGTGTGTGTAAATATATATATATGTATGTGTATATGTGTGTGTACATATACGAAGGAAAATAATATTCTTTTTATCCTAGCTCTTGAGAAAGGTAATGGGAAACGAATGGTATTTCCCTGGTAAACCATGGAGAATGAATAGACAAATGGTAATACGCTGTTTCATCCAAAATCGTAAACTGGGCCATGTAACTTTACCTAAAGTGGATGCAGCTGTTTCTCCCCCGTCCAACTGGTCTGTTTTTTTCTGTGGAATTTTTGCTTTCTTTTCTTGTACTCCCTTAAGACTCAACTTGTAAAAGAAAACAAATCTTTGTCCAATTAGAGCATTAGATGGGAATTTTGATGGAATTATCTGAAGCCCAGAGATAAAACATCAGAATCTTTGAAACTCAAAATTGGTATAATATAGTGGGTAATAACTCTGCCTCTCAAATCAAACAGACCTGAGTTCAAATTAAGTAATAGCTGAGTGACTGCGTAAGGTATGCCCCAATCTCAGCTTCCTTACCAGTAAAACAGAAATACTAAAAGGAGGCCAGGTGCAGGGGCTCACACCTGTAATCCCAGCACTTTGGGAGGCCCAAGTGTGTGGATCACTTGAGGTCAGGAGTTCAAAACCAGCCTGGCCAACATGGTGCCCATCTCTACTAAAAATACAAAAATTAGCCAGGCATAGTGGTACATGCCTGTAATCCCACTACTCGGGAGGCTGAGGCAGGAGAATATTTTGAACCCGGGCAGCAGAAGTTTCAGTGAGCCAAGATGGCACCAATACACTCCAGCCTGGGTGACAGAGAAAGACTCCATCAGAAAAGAAAAAAGAAGAGAAAAACTAAAAGGATCTATCTCATGAGTGTTAAACTGAGACTATGCATACAAAATAGCATTCTGTCTGGTTCTCAGTAAGGACTCAAAAAACAGATTACTGGCCGGGCGCAGTGGCTCACGCCTGTAATCCCAGCACTTTGGGAGGCTGAGGCGGGCGGATCACGAGGTCAAGAGATGGAGACCATCCTAGCCAACATGGTGAAACCCTGTCTCTATTAAAAATACAAAAATTAGCTGGGCATGGTGGCGCACATCTGTAGTCCCAGCTACTTGGGAAGCTGAAGCAGGAGAATTGCTTGAACCTGGGAGGTGGAGGTTGCAGTGAGCCAAGATCCCACCACTGCAGTCCAGCCTGGCACCTGGAGATGGAGCAAGACTCTGTCTGAAAAAAAAGAAAGAAAGAAAGAAAGAAAAAAAAATACCGTTACTACTTTCCAGTTAAAGCTTGTCATACTTACACTGAGTATGTGTATTCAAGAGGTCCAAAGCTGGGAGCCTTGGAAGGAGATGGTGTCAGAAATATACCAAGACTTTTAGAGACATCTTTTGTGGGTACTTATCCTGCTCTGAAATATCAGACATAGGTTTCCTAAATCCCCACAATCCCCGTGGTACCATGTCTGTTTTCCTGTTTTGTTTCATCCTCACCATCTGTTCATCTCCCATGAGTTTGAGAACCAGGGAATTGCAAAAAGGATTCAGAGTTGCTGGAACCTTCAGAAGGAGTGCTCAAGAAGGTGATTCTGGAAAGAAGAGGCTCCTCCTAGATGTCTTTAATTTTAGCTGAGTTTTTCCTTGGCACAAACCAAACTTAAAAACTGTAAGCTGATTAAGGGTAGGATTTCTGTTTAAAAAATCCTTCACAGTTCCTAGATCTGTGCCTTGAACTTAGTGGGTTCCCAGTACTTACATGCTTAATGAATAAAATTAGTAAGTAAATGAATATATTGTCATTCCTCCCAAATATTTTTGGAGTCTCTGTTCACTTTCGATTTACCTAGAGATTTTAAGAAATAAACAAAACACTCTGGGAAAGCCGAAAACCTAATTTGGGTGTGAGCAAAGTCTGAACTCAGACACATGGACAGAAGTTAACAGATATAACTAGTAGGTCTAGGAAGCCAAAGCTGATGGCTAGGTACTAATGGCAATAGGACATCAGGTTGTCCCTCTTCCCTTCCTACTATCCCTCCACTTCAATGAGCAGGTGTGGTCAGATGTTTAAAACATCACCATTTTAGTTTATGCATGATGCTTAATTACCATAGGGAATGCGGTTCCGACAAAGTTCCCGGCTCTGATTGGAATCATTTATTTAATCCTTGGGTATATTGCTGAAACCCCCTCTCTGGCTTTTCTAGAGCTCCTAAAGGTTTTAAGCCTTATTTGTTGGACTGTGACTTAGAACATCTATTTAAACAACCTTTGTGAATTCCCATGATATACTTTGGTTACTTTAAACGTGTTTGTGGGACAGAGCATTTGAAGTGCCTGCCTGATATTCACAGGGCCTGCGAACAGTCCTCCAAAGCTTGCATTCTGTGGTGCGTCAGGTCAGTCATTAATGAGGGTAAAGCTCATGTGATAGTCTTCTTACTTAATTCAAGACACGTTTCTGTTGGGCTGTAGTGAGTCAGTGTCTGAGGCAACAGTATAGGCCAGCG